GTCTCTCTCTGTCCCAAAAATAAATAAAAACGTTGAAAAAAAAATTAAAAAAAAAAAAAGGGTAAAAAAGAAAGTTACCAAATGATTTTTTCAAATAGCTAACTTTAAATTATTCAGTGATACATTATGAATTATATATAGGACAAAGAAAATTAGTTTAAGCAAAAGCTAAAGATTTAGGTTATCCAGGTAACAAATAGCTTGATTAGATAGAAAGAGGACAAGGAACTTGTATGTCCAAGGCTTGTCTAAATAATAAAGGGAGGGGCGCCTAAGTGGCTCAGTCAGTCACACTCTAATTTTGGCTCAGGTTTGTGAGTTCCAGCCCCCTGTAAGGGCTCCGTGCTGACAGCTCAGAGCCTGAAGTCTGCTTCAGATTCTAGGTCTCCCTCTCTCTGCCCCTTCCCTGTTCATGCTCGCTCTTTCTCTCTCTCTCTCAAAAATAAATATTAAAATAAAAAAAATTATAAATAAATAAGGGAAATTGGCTATTTAAAACTCTCAAAGAAATGTTTGTCCTATTAATAGTAAAATATAATGGGATTATATTACTATTTTATTATATATATAATACACATAATATATATTATTTTACACATTTATTACATATACATGTATCTGTATATGCCACAACCCCTTTCAAAAAGTAAAAACTATGAGAACTTCTCTATCACTGCCAATGAATGAATTAAAAAATTGATTTTGAGCCTATGTAACTATCAGAAAACTTTTTTTTCTATTGAGAACTATCTTTCCCCACATTCTTTGCTACACTTAAGTCTTCATAACTGTTGAAATACTTTTTCCAAGATTGCAAAATTAAATTTATCTGAAAGTCTTTCTTCTCAAACAAAAAAGGCTAGCTCTACTAAAGTAGGTTACCTACCCAACCAAGTGCCCCCCTTTCTGCCATGAAGCCATCCTATTTTCTCACCATACTTCTTATCTGCTTCATCCTGTGCCCCACAAATTAATACTACCAGAAACACATACATATAAACACATAAACTAATACTTAAAAGTATTTTGATTTCTTCATTTCTAAGGAGGAAAAAAGGTCAAAAAAATGAAAAGATTTTGTCTGCAACAGTGGCTAATAGGCATAGGTTTATTTACTTGCCTTAAAAAAATACAAAAAGAAAAACAGTAGCTGATGGAACATGTAGCACAAGGACTGAGTGCTTATCATGAAAATATTTAATATGCATTATACAAATAAAAAACTTAGTTTATTTAGAAGTTAGCAGTGAGAAGTAGGACTTACAGCCTTACACAGACAGCTATAACCAAGAAAACTAAGAACTAGAATGAAATGTAGACTTAGGTTACTTTGTTACTCGTATTCAATGAGTTATTTGTATTTGATTCAACACATTATCCACAAGTAAATGCTTAAAATTTCCAAGTTTGCATCCTTTAAATTAAAATAAAAAACAAAAACTAACAACAAAAACTTGGAAAGTAAGCCCTTGGTCTTCCATGTCTACAAGTTACAGTATAGTGATTTCTAGACAGGAAGAAAAATAAGCATCATCACTGCATTTTTTGTATATGCTTTTATTATTAATGCTATTTATCTTCCTTGAGCTGCAGGATTAGCATTATTGGGCCTGATTTCTTTCCATAAAAGCAAACAATTTGCCATGTACTATATCTATATACAAGGACAGAACATATTAACAATTAGTTTTGCTGGCATATGCATAAATAAGTATAGTTAAAAGACTAGTATTTCCTTATTAGACATATAGATAAAATTTAGTAATTTGGATGGTTGTTACAGTTTACTGAAACTTGAGATTCAAAGCCAATAGAAAAAGTAGATACAGAAATTCTGTATTACTTTTCTATACTGGGATAAAACACATACATACAACTATTTTTATCAAAAAAATGATTAAGTGGGGCGCCTGGGTGGCTCAGTAGGGTTAGACATCCAACCCTTGTTTTTGTCTCAAGTCATGATCTCATAGATGGTGGGATAGAGCCCTACATCGGAACTCTGTGCTGACAGTGCAGAGCCTGCTTGGGATTCTCTCTCTCCTCTCTCCCTGCCCCTCCTTTCCCCCACCTCTCAAAATATAAATGAACTTTAAAAAAAAAAAAAAAAGGTTAAGCATCTTTAAGTTAGCATTTCCTCTCCCATTTTTTTTTAAACATTTTATTTTTGGGAGACAGAGTGTGAGTGGGGGAAGGGCAGAGAGAGAGGGGGAGACCCAGAATCTGAAGCAGGTTCCAGGCTCTGTCAGCAGAGACCAATGCAGGGCTTGAACCCATGAACTGTGAGATCATTACTTGAGCCAAAGTGGGATGCTTAACAGACTGAGCCACCTAGGCACCCCTCCTCCCCCGTTTCTATCTGTAGGTCTGGACTAGAAAACAATTATTTCAAAACTGCCAAAGAACCCATTCTATTTTCAGCAAATAATCCCAAAATCTATCACTCTGCCCATAGTAACAACAAAAATACTGTGAGAAACAAGTAAAATTTTTAATGGTTAAATACAGCTTTGTCTAGAACACATAGTACTTGGTAGCACAGGATTTATGGCACAGATGCTGATTAGCTAGCTTGTTTTCCAGGAAAAGAAAATGGTTTTCTTCCCCTCTCTCCATGAAAATTATTAGCTCTAAAAGATTTTTATCAAAGTAACTGATGCTTTGTTAGTAGCGAAGAATTTGCTAGTGTTTGAAAAGCCCCAAGATCTTGCCCCCCAATATTTTCTGGAATGTCTCAAGATAAAACAGATTTGTAAAAATTGCCACATGCGTTTAAGAAATTCAACGATTAACAGGGGCACCTGAGTGGCTCAGTCGGTTAAGTGTCCGACTTTGGTTCAAGTCATTATCTCAGGGCTTGTGGAGTTCAAGTGCCGGGATTCCAGCTCTGCGCTGACAGCTCAGAGCCTGCAGCCTGCTTTGGATTCTGTCTCCATCTCCCTCTGCCCCTACCCACCTCGGGCATACTCTCTCAAATATAAACAAACATTAAAAAAAAAAAAAGGAATTCAACAATTATAAAAATTTAATACCAATTTTTTAAATAAAATGTACATTTACACATTTTAACATCTTTTAAAACCAATGGGGTCTTAAGCACTGTATAATTTAATTGGCAACAACTATCTTTGGTGATATATAAAATAAAGCATACATAAGCGGTATCTTAGAATTCCATGAAATATAGCAACCTTTTCAGAATTACAAGCTTTTACTCAAGAAGACAGACGAATATCTCATTTTACAGATGAGGAAAATGAAAGCCCAAACAAGTGATGCCCCCAACGACATAAAATCAAGAGGAAAAAAGACATGGAAGCCAGGTCTTCTGATTCCCAGTGATGCCCTTTGCATTACACAACCTAACACCTGAAGTTAAGGAGATAAAAAAATTCCCTGGGTTTAACCAAATAGTTAACACACATATCTAATATATCTCTTTCTATAAAAAGCTGGTCGCTTAGGAGCCCTGTAGGTTTATGGCCTGAATCAGAACACAATGTCTCAGACTGACTCAAAAGCAACAACGACCACAAAAAAAAAAAAAAAAAAAAAAAAAAAAAAAAAAAAAAAAAA